CCCCAAAACCCCAAAACCCCTTATCAACATAATCAGAACTTTATTAAGATTGAAACAATTGATTGAATCAAAATAAACTATTATTTATAACGTTTGGCTTGATTTATGACAACAAAAGCTCTTGTTTAGAAACTTGTATAGATCTTATCGAGCCGTTTACTGTTTGGACCATTGAAGATTCGTCATCATCATCTTCTCCTGACATCTCAAACTCATCATGAATGTAATTTCCCTAAATAGAGAAGTTACCCAAATTTGACTTTCTTTATAAAAGGCTATTTTTCTCAAGTGCTTCTTCAATGTCTTCCACTCTTTTGTGAAGATGTATATAGTTGTCAAAACTCATGAATTTAACGAATTCTTTTTTATCTTTTTTTAGTTTTTTCTTTTAAAGCTTTTTAGGCATTTCCTTGATATCCATATCTATATATGTATCTTGCTAATCTTTAGGCAACTTCTCCATAATGAATTCTCTTTTCTTACGGAAATAAGACTTTTAGAGGCTTGTATGAAACATTCCTGAGTGACAGCAAGCAGCAAATATCGCATAGAAAAATATCAAAGAGAGCATGCCACCAACATCCTTGAGTGCCATCCAGACACTTTTAGGAGTTTCATCAATCACAATTTCTGTATCTCCAAAGAATAAAGATATTGATGGCTCTAAAGTGGTATCGTTATTATAAGAAATAGTAGACATTTGAGAAATGTGAATTTCAGTCTCATATGTCGGGGCTAAACTAATGATTGAATCAGTCTTGCGGATTATAATTGGTATGAGCTCAACATTTTTTTGTCTGAATATTACATTATCTTATGAGATATACTAACCACTGTAGATACCTTCACTATTTGCAAAATACTGCTTCATAGACACTTAATAGTTTTCAGCGCATTGATCACAAGCAAAATACATCGTGAAGTTATTCATAACACTTCCAATATTCTGATTTTTATCAATGGTCACATTGCATTTTGGCTAGTAGATAGTTGTGAAATCTTCTATTAATTTAAAGCTAAGTGTCCTTTTAGGGTTAGTTGTGACCAAGGTTATATTATTTCTAAATAAGGCTTCACATGATATCAGAATTGAAAGCCATTATCTTGGTATCTATATGACAAAATCGCTGGTATCTATGAATGTCTAAGTATCAAGTGAATGGCTTGTAAAATCAAGTGGCTTGTATTCTTCAACTATATCATATTCTGATCTAGCAATGACCTTCCAGAAAGTGTAAAATGTATACCAAAGAATCAAGCAATAAAAGATGAAGGTAATGATTCCACAGGTCAAGGATGTGAAGTAAGACCTTCGTTTGTGATAGAACACTGAGTAATGCTAACCCAGTGAACACCCTCGAAAGAAATCTCTTAAGCCTCTTAGTACTACTTTGCCTAATGTATTTCTTTTTGTCATTATAAATAATCAAAATTATAAATATTATTGTATTATATTATTTTTATCTTTAAAATCTTATAATTTTTATATTATTTATGTTCATTGGGGTTTTGGGGTTTTGGGG